AAATGGCTGCCATCTGTCATTCAAGTGAACTAGTTCAAACTGCTCTTTGGTATTTCCAGCATGAAGTGGAAATGAAGCCTTCTTTGCAGACGAGAAAAAGTAATAACAGTAGTATTGCTACTTACTTGGCTACATCCATGATGGTTTCTATCCGGATTGCGCCATCAAGATGCACATGTAGCTCGACCTGCGGATTAAAACATATATAACTGTAATGTGGTGGATCTGTAATGATGTGGGCTCTGTAAGTGAAGACAAGACTTCAGTACAGCAGGAAGATCTTATCATCTGACCCTTAAGGGCCAAATTTGACCCGTAGACATGCACAGCTGTGTGAACGATGATGCCAGGCACTGCATTTTCTTGCACGGCTTTCTTGCGCATGTGGAATGAGGAATGCATAACTGGGTGCAGCCCAGGGTGCTGAAAAGGCCTTGAACGCCAGTGGGGTGCAGAAGGGCTGAGATGCGCTGTTGTGCTCATTCAGACATGCTACATCTTCACCTCTGAAGTCGTACAGCTGAACAGCACTGCGACAAAAAATAACTAAATAACAACCACAGGGGGAGTGCATACATAAACATGAATGATAACTCACTTAAATATTTATTAAGGCTCTACTGTGTATGCCGATGTAAAAACAATGCAAGTTAGGTAATTAACAGTCTTGTGGTACATTACAGACTTCCTTTTAAAGACTGCTTACATGATAAATGACTTATGGATCCATTTCCTCTGTGGTGTAAACTGTGGTCTAGTCAAAATCTGAGCTTCATGATTAGAAACGTTCCCAGAGTAGGAGGGGCCAGTTTATAGGAGCCATATCACTGTCCATCCTTGCTTATTTTAAAATAAAATTTTAATGTAATATGTAAATACTGTGCAGGTTTAAAATGTACTGTACTCTCCTGTAGAGCTGGGCGATATGGCCAAAAATGTTATCACGATAAACAAAATTCATATCGTTCAATATCGATACATACCGCGATAAATGTCAAATCATTATTTCTTTCAAGTTTGAAGGCTGATTTTTGCTCCTGGGGGGTTAATCGCTGTTTTAAACTATCCTTTATGGTCTGAACACGACAAACACTCACCAAACAGTGGAACATTTCACAGATCTGTCATGGGAGAGTGGGAGAAAGTGTCTGCTGAGCTGTTTTTACCAGCTGGAAAAGCATGGCTATTTTGTAATAGTCATAATTTAAGAAAGAAAACAGATTATTTTTAGCTCGGCTACCCCGCTACAAATGACATCACAGTATTGAGACACCAGCTAGCGACGACTGGATTTCTCTACACTATCGTAGTAGTTTAAGGGATGAACCGCAATATATCAACACCAGACAAACAGAGTCCTCCTTTTAGGAAGGTTTAAACTGAAAGCGGTGCTTTGTGCCTTGTTTGATCTACAGTATCATTAATTCTCCATGCTGTGTGAGTGACAGTGCGCTGCTTCAAGTTAGCCAGCTGCTAAAAACAGCTAGCCTGGAAAGATAGCGCTCTCCCGCTTTCCAATGCCTTACAGCTTCCTCAGTTTACTTTCTTTAAATCAGGGCTGAAATTTACATGAACCCACTTCTTTCTCTCACTCTTATTGCTTGGGAATGCACTAATACTAAAATATGACTGAACGCTGTAACAGCGCTGTAGTTGTGAGGATTGTGATTGTGATTTAACGCTGCTAAAGCTTGTTAGGATGTACGGAAAGAGGTGAGTTCGCTGTAGGACAGTTACACCACTGACCTCGTTACTCACACTCGGTCACAGGAGAACAGATCGCCTGTCGCTCCACTCAAACAGGGAATGTATAACTCCGCGTTTCAGCCGTTGCTAAAGACTCATCTTCCTCGTGGCCCCCTCCCTCTCTAATCATGTAGAAAAACTCGGAAGTGCGCCCTCTCCTGGCGACAGCGGAGTAGTGTCGCTTTCCTTGCAATAGAAAACGCCAAGGCTTTCGCTGAACGTAGAGGTGTGAGAATGGTGTATTATATCGAACGTTTATCGAACATGTCGTATCGCTCTATCGAGGAAAAGTTATTTTGCGATAATTATCGTTATCGTTTTATCGCCCAGCCCTACTCTCCTGCCTATATACTCCATATATGGAAACTAAGCTGCAAAAACAGCATATTTTAAATTCATCATTGCTGTAATGTCACATATGACCACTTTTTAAGCCTACAGTAGTATAGCTTGCCCACTCATGTTGAACAGTGGGGAACACTCAGGGCCTATTAGGCCTTCAGAGAATTATCCAATCAGGCCTTATTTTTCTCTGTGGTATGTGGGTAAATACAGCCAAGATAGCTCTCCCATTGGTTAAGCTTTCAGGAGCTGAACTGTAGGCCTAATATGTTAGATTAGCCACTAACATAATAAAGAACTGACCGTGGGATCAAACAATCGTGTTTTAATTTCCAGTGGGTGGGACCAATGTCACAGGAATTAAAAGTGACTCTAGGCCTTCTGGAAATTCTAGATACGTCTCTAACTGTGACTATGTGTGGTAGCCTGACCCAAGTGTTTCAGTCAGTTACTTTGTTAGAAATGGAAAACAGTGGTAGCTCTATAGATTTATTTGAACATTGTAACAGACATATTAAACACTTTTACAAGCCTTAAATGACCATGCTTCATCTAGACTGGCCAAAAAATGTTCATGTGAATCGCTGTTAGCTTAGCACTAACATACTACTAGAATTCCACAAGGGAGGTAGCAGAAATTAGAGTTATCATAGACATGTTTTGACATTTATGACCTGAACTGATGGCCTAGCTCTATATGTATTTCAAACTAAGATTTAGTTTTTTTCAATCATTGTACTTCACGTAAAGGTTATATTTTTGTTTGGAAGATCAAAAGGAAAAGCAATAAAGAATTCTCTGCTCAGCCTGTTTTGTTCATGTTTAACAGGGATGCCAATATTCGTGAAGAGCACAGGACTTCAGTGCAGCAGGAAGATCTTATCTCCTCTCCAATTACTCTGTTACTGTAGACAGTGTAATTGGAGTGGAGCAAATAATTAAACGTTGTGCTGTTCCTGGCTGTCAGGAAACAAATGCACACTATATATGCACACTATTTGTCCAAAAGCTTGTAGACACCTTAAGGCTTTACACTAGGTACTGGAACATTGCTGTGAGGATTTGATTGTATTCATCCACAAGAGTGAGGTCAGGTACTGATGTTGGGTGGTTAGTTCTGGATCACAAACATTACTTTAACTCATTCTAAAGATATAGGATGGACCTCCATCACTCCAGAGCTCAGTTCCACTGTTCCACCAACGCTGGGGGGCTTTATACCCCACTAGCCTATACTTGGCATATAGAGTGTCCCTGCAACCTTACAAAGGGTTCAGACAAGGAAGACATGCATTTTTTTCCAATGTCCCTGAGGATTTCAGTAAAAACTTATCAGTCTCCTTCCTACTGGACAGCTTTTCAAATGAAGTACAATATAAAGGAGCCGAGCAGAACAGAGGTCATTTGTGTGTACTAGTCCTAAAGCACAATAACAAAACAGCCTGCTGAATTCTAAAGCATAAACAGATGTTGGAAAGTGGAATTTGGAATTACATAAAACCACACAATGTAATTAGTGAAAATGTGAAAAAATAAATAAAATACAAGAAAAATTTAAAACATGCACAAAGAGGTTAAGGATGAGCAATGGCTGTGGAGAACAAGCTGACAGAAAACATTAGCCACACCGCAGGGCCTCTACACAGGCTGAGTCAAGGCTATTTACACACAATCTGCACCCTGCCTCACAGTATACAGTCAGCAGCATGCTTACAGCCCACACAGGCTCTTCTACACATGCATCAAATATTGATGAGCTAGCCTGATGTCCACTAACAAGAGAATAAGGGCACCAGTGAAACCTCCATGATAAGCACTGATGATCTAATGACCTCAGATAAACCTTGAAGGAAAGAGTTCATATCAATTCTCTGATGTGCACTTCATTAATGACCGTGGGGCTCTGAAGGTTCAACGGCCTGAGCGGTTTCTCCAAACACTGCGACCATGAGGTAATGGTTTTCAGAAGAAAAAAAAATAGGATTAACTTAATTCAATTAGTGAGCACATCAGGGTTGATGTTTATCATTTCAGTTCAATGATGTCATTTAGGCCTGGGCAATAGAGAAAAACAACTAGAGCACAAGCACCTTTTACAAACAGTATGAACTACACTAACCACTATGTTACACTCAGAAAAATGACATCAGTCTGTTGTTGGTTTTAATCAGTTTTCTCTCAGCACCATTAGTTAACAAATACATGTAACTGAGTGAAACAGAAAAAAGGTCCTTAACTGTCAGTGGGGCAGTGCCCGTCCTGTTACTGGGGTGGTACCCTCAAGGGTACATCTCAGTACCTTTAGTCAGGGAAAATAACTGTACCAGGATCCATTGAAATGATATTTTCTAAATTGTATTGACTCCACACACCCCATCTCATCACCAGACTTTTTATTTTATTGCTCTAATTTAAACAATTAAGTTATGGAAAGTACAAATATGTACTTTTCCACTGGGAAAAACTAATTTAAGGTTCATAATAGGACCTTAAAACCACTGTTGTACCTTTGAGGGTACATTTACATTGTTTGTACCTTGATGAACGACAAATGTACCTGCACAGAACCTTTATTTCTAACAGTGTAGAGTCAGTTATATTGCTTCAAAATACAGTGACTTGTCAGATTTAATTGAAAAGTGTTTGTTTCATTAATGCAACCATGCTGAGTAAAACATATATTTTTCCCATTGACTCCTGGCATCTTTGCATATTATTATACTTGTTTTACTTACTTAAACAAGTTTTTCCCAGGTGAAAAGTATGTATTTGTAGCTTTTCATAGCCTAATGTTTTAAAACAGAGCAATAAAACAAAGTCTGGAGATGAGACGGGGTGTATGGAGTCAATACAACCATGGATTATGGTACAATTATTTTCCCTGACTAAAGGTCCTGAGATGTACCCTTGAGGTTACCACCCCATTGACGAGGGGGACCGCCCCAGGGACAGTTTTGTACCTTTTTATCTGAGAGTGTGGCAAACCTTTCTTTGTGTGGAAGTTTCCTTCCACTCGTTGGTTAACCACCCAGCCTCACTGTTGTTGTCACCTGGATGTACCTCACTGCTAAACATGATTATACACCAGCTGGGTAGTAC